AAACTTGACAAATTGCGAAATATTATATTAGATTGATGGATTTTTTGATTAATTAAAATGTCTAACAAGAGATTATTAAAAATATTTTTGTTAAAAATAGAACAAACCTTGAGAAATGTATACTTTAAAAACATTAATCCTACTAAAAACAAAACTTATAAATATTTATTGTTTTAACTTAAACTAAAAACCTATTTTCCACATTTTTTTCAATGCTACACATGTTAAAATCGAGAATAGCCAGAAACAAAACATCGTAAACATGATTACACAAATTGATCTCCAACACAATCAGAATTATTCGTAAAATAAACCGTTTTAAGTTCACACATTTCGTGTTTTTACGATTAGATTCGCCTTTAAGCACCGCGAAAACCATAAAGCAAACATGTAAACAACGCACGTATAACGCGACTATAGGAAAAGTCATCGAACACATATTACATCGTCCCGCAAATCGTCAACGTGCGAACAGCCGTGTGCGAAGAAAAAGCTTTTCCCCGTCGGCGAAAACAGTTCATTACGTGTTTATTGCACGTGCGCCGCGTGCGTCACGTCCATGTTTATGATCACAATACAAATTTATTTACTGGCCGCCAGGTCGCAAGAAACAATGTTCCTTGGGCGAGCGTGCGCATGCGCGTTGCGCCTATGGCTATATTAGGCGCATACGAAAGTCGTATCGGTCGTATCGTTCATTATCGAAAGCATCGACGGTCGCACATATAGGACAACACCTATGGACGTGTGTAATTGACGCATTATTTATTACGACTCGTCGTCGCTCACACGACGCGCGGAGATATCTCGTATCTGAACGTTTAATTTTCGCCCGCGTCGCGTGTTATTACGTGCGATACTTGTTTATTTCTTTTTACATTTACATACTCACATACTATTATTATCTTCGGTTGTAATTCGAGGTTTTGATAGGGTACAATTATGGTAAGCAGCCAAAGTTTTGAAAATTACAATTATACTGAGAAAATGTTAATAAATCTTTTTTATGGTGTTCTAAAAATAGAGATCAATAATTTAATATTATGAAAATATGCTTTTAAAAGTAAGAAAGTTCCAAAAGCAATTTTCTTCACGCAAACTGCAATAAAACGCGAGTGATAATAATGAAAAACAGCAGACAATAGCGGTGATCATAAAACCAGGATCAAACTCACATTAAACTACATTCAGACAAATACAATAAGCGTCTTTAACGCATATTTTCGCCGAGTTTTGCGTGAAAACCCAACGATAAGATATTACGGAAGATATTAAATTAACATTTCTATACACGAGCAGTTATTATATTACCGCACTCGCTTTTATATGAATTTATTGAGAATAAAAAAACACCGGAATAAAAAATGAACGATATCCATCAAGGTTGAATCAATTAAACCATAACACATAGTCAAGTTTTCATCAATTCATCAATAATTCGCCGTCGACAGGCTGAATGAAACCTATAAAAGTGCATATTCACGCGCGAATCATTACACACATCAAGCGTATCCATGACCTTCACAAAGTCAACTTAACTGTTTTTATATAGCTATTGAAACAAGCGACTGCACCTTAAATTGTGCGGTGTTAATCATCGTTTTCAAAACGAAATTGTGGAAAAGTGTATTCACGATTTTAACACGCAAGACCAAATTTGTAGTTGCCACATCCAATAATTATAAATCATTCGTTTCGATGCGGAATGATACAAGCGATTCCGAAGTGATTTAAAGCCCCATCTCTCGAAGAGATAAATGAGAAATGTATACCTAAAAGCAGCAAACAAAACGATCCAAACAAATGTATTCCTCGGCTGTGGTCATAAAGTTCGTAAACGAAATTTGGTCGCAACAAACAGCGCTTTATTATGATAATTTTATTTTTCCGATGCATAGAGCAACACAGGCGACCGCCTGCCTGCGCCTCCAAAAAGGGTTTAGGAGGTCAAGTGTTCCAACCATTCCTGTTATCCGTTCAAAGTTCAATTCTATACTCAACTATCAACAACAAAAATTCAAGTTTCAATTAGTTGCAATGAAATACTTGCACGTGCTACAACTTAACCAAGATAAAAATAAAATTGTGCATCATGTGAAACTATTCATTAAACAAACATAAACATAACTTATCTCTAGATTTATGCTTCTCGTGCTTTAGTGCTAATTAAATTGATCAAGTAGACTAACAAATTAATTACTTGCAGATTGCAGAGTGTGCTAACCGCGCATGACGTGTGCCCGCGATGCACACGTCGTAGAATTGACTAACAATCAACTAATTGTTGACGTTTAAACTACGCAAAATATTAAAACATAACGCAACACGCCATAAGCCGCGAAAGGAGTTGCAAAGCACAAACACTGCGCGCACGTTTTGCATATCAATGCGGTTATATGCTGGCTCATTGCGAAAAGCGCATCTGAATAAACATAAAGATGAAGGTGTTCGTTGGCGTCAAGGCGCCCCCGCATCCCTTTTACATCAAGGGCTTGGACAATTACAATTACAAGCATTATTACATGTTGAAAAAGCTGCGACGCATAGGTAACTATTAATATTGACAAGTTATTCTTCTATAAACTTCTATTTCCTATTTTTTTCGAGTGTATATTTTCTTTTATATTTTTATACCGCACAAAGATTATGTTATATTTTATTCATCCTGCTGATCTAGTTTCTTGATTCATGCACAAATAGCTGTTTTTATAATTTATGATCACGATTGTTATTTTTTCATATTGTTGAATTAGTTTACAGCTGCATATATCTTGATTTTCTGATGTTTTTATTGTGAATACTCATAATTATGTTGTATAATGTTGTATAAAACAGGCTCGGTGGGAATGTGATAGTGACACATTTTTATTTCCAACAATATAATATTGAATTGTGCATGTAAAGTAGGTTATTAATTGCAAATATGCATCGGTTGAGTTGCGGTACAAATACCGAACAACGCAATAACTTCAATTAACTCTTAAACACTACAAGCGGAAGTTTAATTTGCAATTATAATACTCTATTATGAAAATGTAACCCAGAGGAAGACAATGTAAATGTAGGCCTTTCTTCGGCGCTAAATTATCATACATTGCACTTGCACGATTTCAACATCAGCATCAGCATCAAAGTACCGATATCTCCGTTGCATGTAATTTAGAACATGTGTAATTTAAAAAAAACCAAACGGTGCAATTTAAATGTGACTATAAGTGTCATTGCTTACTTCCAATTTAAAAACTAACGACATCTAACGCAATATACTGTTATTCTATTACTTTCGATGATATACGGTGCAATTTGACCAAATTGAATTTCCGCGCTGCTTAAATTTAACGTCTTGTAAGTCCTTGTGAGTCGCGATCGCGTGAAACAACTGCATTCTTGCAATAAAGACGTGTTTTAAGTTATTTAAAGCTTTAAAAGCCGCACATACGCAGTAATAAGGTCGCTCGACGCGATGCGGTAACACGACAAGGATGTTTTATATTGCATCTGATATGTGCGTGTGTTCTTCGAATTCTTCGAGTTCTTTGCGACCCTTGCGTGCTTCATTTACGAGTTACGCCCGTACGTGTAATGTGCGTTGCGTGCCATTATTTACGTGAACAAATGAAATGTTTTAACCGAAAATTTAAACCAAAAATAAAAATTTTCAAAAACACTAAGACCACACATGTTACAAACAAAACGAATTTAATCTGTAAATAATAACATACGCGTGTCATTACGATTTGTAACTGTGGTAAGGCGTAAACTATCAGATTTCCATGCCAGATAATGCAATAACGCGAAAGTTTCAAGTTTTTAATCCGCGTGCACAACACCGCAAGAGGCAATCGTGGTTATTATGATGGTGATAATAATCGTAATCGCGAAATTGCTAAAGGCATGCACGCAAATTATGCATATTATGCACGCGACATGCGCAAGATTATGCGCAATGTGCAACTTTGTTATTTTTGACCAGTAAACTTTTTCTGCATTGCAGTTATTGCTGATATTCGATACTTTAATTGACACTTAATGTCAATTTATAAAAAAACACTAATCATCACTAATTTTAGTTGTTTTAAGTCCGAAATAAACGTTGTGGAAGTTTATACTCGACACAAATGTTCACAACGGACGTGAATAATTCGCAAATGACATCATTGTACTTCACGCAGAGGGTCAAACCATATTTAAAAAACAACGTCGATTAAATGTAGCCGGCAATTGACGAATGACGAGTGATAAAGGGAAGCAAAACGTGCAATAAACATTAATATCATAATAGCACGTCATAAATATCGTGCCCTATCGACATCGATGAACCGAAAGCAGTCCAACTAAAACTAGGATCATATCTCTATTCTTCAATTCTTCTAGCTTGTATCTATCTTCATTCTTTGTGCGATTCAATTCATTTTCTTGTCGCCTCTATTCTCGGCTACTCAACCGACGCCATTGTGCGCGCGCGCCCATTCAATTCAATTCAATATTTCATTTCGTCGTCGAATAAATTACACGCGTTAATGCCGTCTTGCGACTTACTTAAATTTACGCCGTCTTCCTGTCTACTGTTTCAGCCACGTGAGGAAGCACTCGAATAATAAGAGTAAGACATTTTTATTGTTTGCGCCGCGATTTGAATGCGTTTATAATGCGTGCGTTATGCATAATTACACATTGCACATGTGACTCATAAGTTGAACACACAATAAAAACGTTTCTTATATGACGAGCAAAGGTTCTGAACAAAAGATGTAAAGAATCACGTGGGTGCCGCCGAGTGCGACAATAATTGACTCATTAAATGTTACGACAAACGCGGCACACGACAACGGTGACAAAACAGGACAACAAATGACCGCCATTTTGTTTTTTTGTTGTGACTAGTTTCTTCTGAATAAAGATATGTTATGAAATCTTGGAGAATAATTTGGTTTGGGTGGTTGTTGATACAATATGTTGATGTTTTGTATCTTTATTAAAGTGTATGTGTGTTCTTCTAGGCAAAGGAGGCATGAACGATGTCGGATTGGGTCGGGGTCTGGCGCATAGCCCGGACTCCGACTGCAATAGCAACCATCCGGGCAGCGGGAGTGTGCTCAGCAACACCTCCTCACAGGACATCGACTTCATTCAGGACAACTCAGATTACCAATGGTTTATCGACTTTAGGTACATTTACTACTCACATAAAAATAAAATGGCAACAATCTTATTTTTGTGTTATTAGTTATAGGGATAATCACCATACAAGCATACTCTCATTGCCTGAGTCCTACGATGCAGGTGATATTGCCAACTATGAAGCCTTGGCGAAAAACATGGACGCCAATCTGGCCGAGGCGGATATTGAGTCCTTTCGAACTGAGGATATTCATGCCCTCCTCACGAACCTTCCGCCCATGTGCAGTGAACAACTAAGTCAAGAAGTACTACTTCCTTTTTATTACAAAACTGAAATAATAATTTTATTATTTTCTTATTTAGAGCCATAGACAAGGCGAAAGCTTTGCTAGCGTGTCCGGTTCCATGATGGGCAAATTTGATTTCGACAGTTCAAGCCCACATAGCAGTAGCCAGGACGATTCGGCCAACTCCACGTCGATGTCAATCTGCAAATCTGAATTACTCTTCTCGCCGGTGAAGGAAACACCCATGCCCGGAGCGAATTTCAGCGTAGATTCGCTGGATTGCGAGTATAATGATCACGACATCATGCTCACGTGCCAGGCGAATAAGGACAACTACACCATTGCCTTCGAGGGATCGATGACTATGTACTCAGAGGATAGCGACTATCATTTCGCAGATAAGAGTGATACGTCGGGAGGTGGTAGCACTCATTGGGCTGAATTAAAGCATCCGCTGCGCCATCTTAAGACCCAGGATGTTTCCATGACGCAATCGGACACTGGCTTCACGACGTGGAGTAAACTCAAGAAGCGCTGTTGTGAGAATCAACTAAGGCGTCATCCCTCCGGTAATAATAATCAGTCCGTGGACGCCCAACATGGCTTCTCTGATGCTGGCTTTAAGTCACAGAGTATGCCCAACTTGTATAAGCAAAAACTGCGTAGTAGTATCACCGCGCAGTACCAGCAATATGAACAGCAGCGACAGCAAAGAAGTCAGCATCTGAGTAACAGCTCGGTGAGTGTTTTGTATGTGCCTGTGGTGTTGACATAACTTAGTTTGTTTACGAAGAGATAAGTTCGCTTAATGACCAATTGAGTCAACAATGCGCGTTGTGCGTTTGCGCTGTGGCCGCAGAAATGAATTAAGTTTAATAAATATTTCATTTTAGGTGGAATGTTGCACGATTAAGCGTCGGCCGGTTAAAGTCTTCGATATTCAACATCAGGTGCACTCTAGCAGTGGCAACAGCATGTCGGATATGGCGACGAGTATCGACGCCAGCAGCAGTGCTGAATGTAAAGCTCCCAACTTTAATCTGGTCAAACTGTTTATGAAACAGAAGAGCATCAGTGCTGAAGGTACGTATTATTAAATTAAATTTTGTTTAAATTCCTTTGTATTTTATTATTGGTGTTGGTAAATATTGGGTGGATGATTGAATGTCTGATTTCGAATATTTAGGAATGTCGACAGGTTTAGATCATTCCTCATCGCAGAGTGACAACTGGCCGGCAAGTCAATCGGACGAGAGCAACATATCAAACGCTAATCATGCGCCTGGACCACCCAAAGAATGTTTTGAAGATAGTCTGCTGATGGACCAACGCCCACCGGAACCATTGCGAACGTATGAATCTATCTTAGAAGAAGAAGAATCTCGAACGGATGCTACTGATGCAATTGATGGTTCCATGCTAAGCAACAATAATGGTAGCATGGAATATGAGAAACGATTGAGGTCGAGATCAACTAGCACCAATGGTAATCCTCGTCGCAATAATTCAATATCCTCCTCTGGAGGTTCTGGCAGTTTCACAAAATCTGCCAAACTGAAGGTGCCCATTCATTTGATGAACAAGAGCATTCAAACCTCACAATTTGAAACAAAATCAGCCCCGTACAAATTAAACACCACTACAGCCCATGGTAAAGAACCCTACAGAGTTGTAGAGCCTTCATTTTTGAATAAGCTCAAACAAGAAGGTGAAGTCCATAAACCGGTATACATTTTGTATCCGAATTATGTATTGCCTGATTTGGACTTTCTGGAGAAGGAAGAAGTTGCAAAAGTGTTCTTGATGCCGCATAAGATGCAAAAGCCAGCACCCAAGTCGCGTCCATTCAGTTGCAATGACCTGGAAACATTGAAACGCAAAGGTTTTAATCATGTCCAAGATTGGGATTCGTTGAATTTCCTTCTGCCTGCTGAATGCAAACAGATCTTAAGCGACGTTCCCGAGATTGCTCATCATTTACGAACCCATGGAGCTCGTCCTGAAAAACCATCTTTTGCGAAATTGAAGCGTTCTTCAAGACCCGTGAGCTGCGATTGCACTGGCTATGAAAGAGCTGGGAGTGCTGAACGCACCAATATTTCCTCCAGTAGTAGTACTGGCACTGGCCCGAGTTCGGGATACAGAGGTTCGTCTTCTCAACTCAGCGAAAGCCAAAACTCTCCAGCGCCTCAGAATAATTTCAATCCCTTGTTTGTCTATCGTTACGATTCAGTGACGAGCAGCGAGGCGAGTTTGATGGGAAGTGAAAAGCGTTCGATAACCACTACAGCACCGTCTACCGCTCCTCCTCTACCAAAACGAGGCATCAGCCTCCCGGAGACGAAAGAAGTTGCCCCACCTAGACCTCCACTCCCAAGAGGAATACTCCGAAAAGGAATCGAGAATAAGTTGAAAGCCGGCCAGACTAAGCGTTACTCTATGTTTGAGATGAACGAGGACGATATCCTGAATGAAGTGCAAAATAAACGCCACTCACTGCAGGATGCGTACCTGCCTAGACACAAACGCCTCAGTGAGACGGAAGATGAAGGAGTGGATGCAGGCACCTCTAGTAGTAGTCTAGACGAACCCACGGCGTTCAGATCGCAATCGCCTCTGATTAAACACGACGTGCTTTTCCAAAATATCAGCACTGAGGAACTAGTGCAATTGGAGGAATTCCTGAAGATGAGTGGCATTTCAACGTCCGATTCTGATGATATTAATGAAGAATCCATGCTTCAACTGAGATCATACGTGAGCAAATTCCTCTCACTGAAGATCAACCAAGATCCAAACAGGAAATGTGTAAGTTTCGCTGAGAAAGTGAATGTCCTCCCGAAAGCGGTGCCCAACAATTCACCGAATGTTTCTGCTTTGCTGCAACAACGACATCAACATGGCAAGGCATTGGTTGATATGCCAATTTGTGAGGAAGGTGAATCAACACCGGAAATGTCCAACAGCCCAGCGCGTAAAAACTCCAAAGCAAGTTTAATTCAAGGCGTCTCCGATGCTGTCGAGAAAGTTATCCAACACTTTTCCGCAGCGACAAATCAGACCGAATTGAATCAGTTGGGTGACTCCCAGGTTAACCCGCAATGTGCGAAGGCTGCGTTAAATTACTTATGCCCCGCTCTTTATGCGGTGTTAAGCGATGGGTTGAAGCCCAACTTGGAGACATCATTTGGCGCAATTGGAAACTCTGTCTGGCAGGTAGTGGAAGCATCCGCGCAGCAAGGCCCGCTTACCAAAGCGCTCAATGAACTGGTAATGCGGATCAATGGCGAGGATGTCATCACTGAGGGTGTGGTCAAGTTCAATGCATTTGTGTTTGGCTTGCTGAATGTACGCTCCTTGGATGCTTGGTTTAGCTACATGAGGACACGAGAGAGTGTATTGAAGAAGCATTACGAAGCGGATTCGCTACTGTTGATGTCACATACTGGTGGGGCTAGTATCAGGCAGTTGCTTGATAGTTTGATCACTTCTCTGCAACCATTGGCACTGTTTCCGTTCCAGTTTGATTTACTGTTTGAGTATCGGCAATTACATGAGAGTCTGAAACGTATGGATTCGTATCATCAACCAACCAGTCCTGTACACAAATCATGGAAGCAAAACTCTTCTGAGTCTGATGAGTTGTCCACGGCGACAGCAATTCGTAAATATTCCTTTGACGGAAACAGCACAGATCCATCAGTGCCGGATTTACTCAACAACTCGGCAAATCACCGCTCGCGATCTGACAAACCTCGTCCACGGTCATGTATAGACCCTGGACTCCTATCAGCGAAACCCACATTCAAACTTGGTGAAGATGTGAATAGTGCTTTGAAAAAACGTTGGTCCGGTATCAACTTCTCATCAAAACTGTATGCTGCATACAATCGTTTGGGTAGTTTAGCAGCAGAGAATTCCGAAGATGAATACACCGACAGTTTGGAACAAAATGGAGGACAAGCAGCGGATGAGGTTACATTACCGCTTGATGGGCCAGAATCACTCGATTCGAATATTTCTGATGATAAACCGTTGAACGGGCGCAAGTTTAAGAAACTGCAGCGTCGTTGGGAGATGCTCAGTACGAAGGAGGTGTCACCGCCAGAAAGCCCCACACATACACCCAAATCCAAAATACCACGTCCGGTTATTTCACCGATTAAACCCTCTGGGATTCCTGTACCTGTATCACCAACTTACAAGGGTATCAAGGGTGTGGCAAAGAAGGTAACTTCTCCCAACGGGGCTGCCGCAGTGAAATCAAAACCTTTCGCACAAGCGAAAATCAACACGAATCTAGTCACAAGGAGTCCAGCTAAAAAGGGAATTAACCCTAGGTAAGCTTTCTGAATCACTCTATGATTTGCTTTTTAATTATGGGTTTATTAGGACGAGTAGGCTGGATCAAGTGGAAACAACCGAAGCAAGGAACATCACAAGGCCCAGCAGTTTGCCGTACAAACCAGCAACGGCAGTTGGCAAAAACAGCAAAATCACACCCCCAAGACGCGCGGTTTCTACATCAGTGAACCGAAAATCTGCGCAGAGTCACACACCAAAGTAAGCACACAAAAATAATCACGCTTGGATTGTTTTATATTTGGATTTACCATCTAGGGTCGTGCGAACGTTGTCGCACCGCCTGCCATCCGAAAGCGGGCACTTGTCATACAACGAGGGCGAAAAACTAAAAGTGGTGCTCGAAGTGGACGAGAAATGGCTGCTGTGCTGTCGCGGCACACAAAAAGGTCTCGTTCCGAAGGCGGCAGTGATAGCTGCCGATACGGGCCGCTTCTAATCGCCGCCCCAAGTAACAACCACCCATCGGATACGCCAAGTGCAAGTAAGTGCGCGACGTGTGCACGTGCGCGAACAGACTGGGAATTGTGATTCGCTAAGTTTAGGTTGTAGGTGACGTTTCGGTATTATCGATATAGATGATGCAGGAAAACCAACTACAGTTATTTAGCTCGTAAGCATGTACAACTTACTTCAACTAATCCATAAGTGAGCAAACAGCAAGTAATCGCTAACCACATAGTAGTCCATTGTATTTGAGCGACTGGTGCATTTTGCTTTTGTCGATAAGATACAAGGTATGACATTGTAATTCGTTGTAAAATATTTCAAACGAGAGAGCGGTCGATGGCGCACACGATTTTCAACAATTGATTATTTATTCTGGGTTCGTTTCATCACGACTTTTATTTATTTTACTGGTGGTGGTTTTTTCATGCACATTTTCAATCGCGGGCATTGCAAAAGCAAAACAAAATTGAAACAAATCACTCTTAATCAATCATGTCATATCGCCTTCATTCCTCATTAACTAGTGCAAACATCCTGGTGGTTTGTTTCAATTTTAATTGGATATTTGGTGCACTTTTTAGTATTATTATGGTACAAAAACGTGATAGCTGCTATTAACTAACACTCACCTTATCATTGATTACCATCCGGTTAGGTTGTACATATCTGCATGCTTTGAATACTAACATCTATGCGGCACTTCTATTTTATTATTTTGCACCGAATATTTGATTCCGGTATTTGTGTAGCGATACCGTTGGATTAAGTATGTGACACGTTGAAACCACCGTTCGCACAGAGCTGGAGACTCGATATTCTAGTAAATATCGTAGTATTCCTAAATCAGATTGTTTAAAACTCAAAATTGATCAAAGGCTCTAACAGCACTCACGTATTTCGTTAAAAACCGTTACAATAATGCAGGTTATATTTTGTTGAAAGTTGTTAAATGTTAAAATCGTGTTTATCGTGTTAATATCGGCAACTCTCCGTGCTTCTTGACTTAAAACATTTATATTTGGACATAATTGTGATAATTTATTCATTTCTATTATGATATTGATATTAATTGATATGTAAACTAAATATTCTAATGTATATTACCTCCTAAATCAGCCATTTACGACACTATTGTAACATTTGTGTAAAACTTGTATCATTTCTCGATCGACAAACTAAAAGGGCACATGAGTTGAAAGATTTGTGTGTGTATTTATGTAAATGAGGCCTTATTATTAAGTTTGGTCAGCGCAAACAGAGCAAACGAGCAGAAACCTGTGGTGAATAATGGAAGCAGATTTGTCTCGGCGACGGTCGACATTATTAGCTAATGCATACAAATTTTAGATAATCGTACTTTTAGCCTTATACAATAGATAGTAAAAACCTCTCTCTGACTGTGTGGGCTACCACGGATTACCAGCACACAATATACTACTGCTTAGTTTATTATTTATTGTGTACACTCGTAGTTTTGTTTGATTATTTCGTACTTCTGTTTGCGATTACAGACGTATTCTTGAGTTTTATCAATTGAATCATACAAATACCAATGGAACATTAAGATTATGACGAAAATGACTAATGTTATTATAAATAAATGTGTAAATAATTGCTTCAAACCATTATTGCATTGATAACTAATAAAATGATTAAAAAATCACCAGCATAATTTTTTTCCACAAATATTTGATTCTTTTTAGTGATTCAACGAAAAATAAAAAGCAATAAATTTATTTTCGTACATATTTGCTCCAATAAACGATTTTTAAATATATAAAACATCTGAAATAAAAACTAATGTCATAAATCAGGGGATATAAACTCTACATCCGAATTTGGAATCGACCGGCCTTGGTAATGTACTTGACGCCTTTAAAAGGTTTGTACTTCTCCCCGTACATATCCAATCGATGAACCTTAAGTCCACTTACAGCCATTTGATTGATCGTAAAGTGAACATTGATTGACGGATTGATTTCTGAAGTATTACTGCCGATCGCAATCGCCACACTGCCACGGATATTCGGCAGCTTCGTCACGTCGATTTTACCAATATCCCAGTGCAGAATTCTCGCAACCGGATCAAAGTTATACTTGCCCTGATTTGCGACGAGATTGCAGTTTAAAATCGCCTTTGGCATGAGTACTTCCAACTTAACACCTGACAAATTAAAAATAATCATTTAAAACGATAATTAATATATTTATAATTCGGTTTTACCTTCAACTGTTCTTCCCAATGTATGTTTGGGTCCCACTGTAATGTCAATACGCCCTTGCTCGCCAGTTTTAACGACAAAATTATGTCGTACGTAGATTGGTATTGCCACAACACTTTGGCTACTAATGTGATACGAAATAAGTCGGAAGTTACCATCGGGTGGAATAAACGAGAGGATTTTCTCGCCTTCCCAACGCTTGAACCTTACACATGGATGAAAACTAATGTCGTCAAATAATCGAGGGTTTATGAAAGACAAGGTGAGGTCAGGCATTCCACTCAATTTAATACAACAGTCAATATATCCTTGAATTTCGGCAAAGACTGTTGATCCTGTTTTATCAATAATGGCCTCAACTTCTTCAACAACATCGAAATAAGCCTCATTGTTGGTGTATTTTACACCAGTGCGACGCCATGGAATGTTAGACAGTTGCCCAGTTGGCAATGTACCACTTACACTGAAAATAATTGAATCACAATCCATGGAAACCTACTATTCACAACCAAAAGACAAAATAAACTTACTTTGATTTTCCAGTAACTGTATTAGCAATAGTTCTAAGCAAATTGGGTGGTTTTATCAGTTCCTTCAGAATATTACTTTCTGTAGCTAATGGATATCCATTATCTAACATTTCATCCAGCAACTCATAAACAACAACGTAATTTTCTTTGATAATAGTCTCAGTACAGTCATTAAAATAATCCTGTAAATAAATTATTAAAAAAACTACTGTTTAGTAGCTATAAATAGTGTCTTACTTGGAATGTATCTACAATACGATGTAAAAACTCCACTACAAATAGTGGTGGCATCTCCTCCATGCACACAGCAACAAAATGTACACCATTTCTTCTAATACTAATTAAATAGTGATGTGGTGTAGCAATAACCGGCGGGATATCTTGAGGATTCGCAATTTGTGCCTCCAGATAATAATCACATACTGATCTTGAGACTACACTCTTCCAATGTTTTTCAAGAAAAACATCTCTAAAATTTATTATGAAGAAATTTAATTAAAAATTAAAATTACTTATTTAGTAGGTAACTTACCCAGATGAATTGATCATAAATAAACTGTGTATCATCTTGATACAACTCAAAGCTTGATTTGTTTTAGACCGAATGAAGAGTTTGTCTTGTTTCTGTTCACTTATGGTTCACTTCAGTTCATTTCTTCCACGTACTGTAAGTTTAACCATAAATTGAAAATATCAAGTATTCGGGGGTATCCAACGTTGCCAGTTAATCAACAAGTTTTGAAATAATTCTCAAATACGTGACATTTATTATTATTACATAAATATAAATAGTTCATGCCAAAATGATGAAAAAATATCCCTTCGAAGAAAAATCAGAGGTAAATATTGGTTTTTGTAATAAATTTACTATATTTATATAAATAAATTCGCATTACTTACAGATATCATATCCGCAATTGTTTAGTGTTGAGGAAGGACGCCTAAAACTTCATTTTATTGCGTTCAATTTGCACTTTATTTTATTCGTTATACTTTGCAATCTATTAGCACTTTTCATCGCGTCATTCACTGTAAGCTAAATATTATAACTCACTTTATACTATAACCTCACAAATGAGCTTTTTAGTTGTTTTTTGAAGTGAATTCAACGTGGGTTTTATTCATAATTGAACTGGTTTGTTTCTTGGTAGCTGCAGGTGATGTAACACTAAGTCTGGTACACTATGTTACAAAGTCTTTAATAAGTTACCACTGTTATCAACGAGTCTCAATTGGTATAAAATTTATATAAAAACTTACTTTATAATATTATATGTTAATTGATTATTGTATTATTTGTATTGCAGTGTATTTAATTTGCATGATTATTATACTTCTGGCAACACTTGTGACTTTGGTAATTCCTAAAACAATTGTGCTTCTAAAATGGCTCCATTTGACCTTTACTATAGCACGCAGTATTTTAAAAAATGGATACATATTAAGTAATTTGACATAATAAGTAAAATACATTTAGAATACACTAAAAGTATATTAACAATTTAAGGGTTTTTTCTTCATAGTGGTGAAGCCATTGATTCACACATTCGAGTCATTATGGGAATATATATAGTGTGTGTCATTATGCTTATTCAATGGTTTGCTGCTTTGTGGTTCGAACAATGTGAAGTATGATTAATTTAGATTACTACTCTCTACGTTTTATTTACAATTATTTACAATTTTTAGCAATGTGTTGACTACTACATAACTACTGATACAGCACAATTCTCAAAATGGGAGAATTACATCACCAGTATATTCTTTGTGTTTGGGGGAATTACAAACGTAAGCTACGGTGGTGCACCGCTGACCAAAACAATCGAAAAGATCGTTTTAATCCTATTGGGTGTTATATCAATTGGCTTACTCAAAGGTGGAGCATATGCTAGCTTAACAGTGTTGCAAATCAATGCATTTTATTTGGATCGCTTAACCAAACATCACAGTAATTTTATAAGACACAATTTGGTGGGACCATCAGCAGTTATTGAAAACCTAAAATAATTATTCATTATGCTCCACAGACACGCAACCCTAATATATATTCCAATGATCTACAAGAGGAAGTCGAATTGTTTTTTGTAACTTATCTTCCGAAGATGATTTGTAGACAAGAACCGGAGTTACTCTTGCAGTTACCACGTGGTATCAAACTGCATATGAAGAAAGATATCTATCGAATGTATTTTAAGAACTCGTTTGTATTCAAACACATGCCGATAGAAATGATTGCTGAAATAGCTGATTCGATTACCATTCAAAGTTATCCGATTGGTTCAAAAATATGCGATGCTAATGGTATCTTGGGTAGAATGGTGTTTATCGCAGAAGGTAGCGTACGCATAATGGCGGCCAACGATGACGAGAACATTATTATGATATTATGTGTTGGATCATGTCTTGGTGGTTCTTTCTTATTTCTGCCTCGTAAACCAATTGTGTCAATGTATGCTGTGAGCTTTTGCACGGTGCACTGCATCACTTTTCGAGACTTCTGGCTAAAAAATGCTAAAATGCAGAATAGGAATAATTCTCTACATAAACACTTTCAAGATCAGCTACGTCTAGCTAGAAGAGATATTGAGTTTCGCAAACAGTTCAATTTGTAAGTATGATTTTAATTTAAGCTGTATTTAAGCAGAAAAACGACCAAAATTATGTAAAAAGTTAGCATTTATTGTTTGCGTTTTATAGGTTATGTATTATAGGTTATCTAATATATTCCGACGCCTTTTTAAAAAAAACAAACTCGTTTCTCTTCATATTTCTTCATAATCTTGTTTTTCCTGAAGTTAAAAGCAAAAATGTTATTTATTTAAATTGTTTCAGGCCGCAAGTGTCATTTCATGAAATTAAATCGAAGATACCGACTGAAATGCTCGTTTGGAATTGTAAACACGATGTACATTTAAAGGGCAACTACTTTTTAAATACGATAAAGATACGTTATGAAGACCGCACATTTTTGAAAACAACCGGATTAATGCGATTCCGTCCTGGTTCAGAGCTACTTAAATTCTGGACCATATTCATGATTGGATTAGTTCTAACTGTCATGCTTGTCTATCCAATTCTCATTATTTTTAATCCGTATCTCCACTATCCACCTTTGTTCCTAACTTTACAACTACTCGTTTTGATCTGTTACGCGTTGGATTTGTTTGTGGAATGCACAACTGGAATAATATCAGAACGCGGATACGAACTTGACATGAAACTGATTCTAAGGAAGAAATTTTCCTCCAAAATTTTTATTATAGACATTGTTGCAGCTATACCATTCGGATTCTGTCTATATATTTTGTTTCACACTGGTTTTTTGAAGATGAATATACTAATTTTCAAGTTATTGCAATGCCAGTGCCTTATCAAGGCTGTTAAGGTAGACACAATAAATTTATTTATTAATAATAATTAATAAGAATAATAACTTGGGATTGTTTTAGCTTCCATGTTATTTTCGCCGTTTGGGAAGGAATGGAAATTGTGACAGTATTTTTAAAATGGTGGTCTTACTTTTGTACTTGAATTATATCTGGATGTGTATTTACTATTTTATATTTTATGATAGGTATGTATTTTCAATCTTTTTGTGGAAATGGAAATTAATTTAGTAAATTATTTTTTAGCAAGGAAAGTAGTTGGATAACAGTCCTTCCGGGAAACTTAAAGGATTACCATAGACTGTTTATCATTTACACTTATACTCTAACTGTTTCTACTCTCTCCGATTGTTATCATCTCTCAAGCGTGACTGAAATGTATTTTATATTGTGGCTACAATTATTTGGTATTGTTTTCTACATTTATTTCTGGTCGTATGTCACTAGCTCCATTATTTTAAACACTAAATCCAGGTAAATAGAAAAAATCATGGTTTGAGTTGCCGTACAAGTATCGAGCATAATACAACAGTTCAATCCAAACTATTGATTATCTTTGTTTTTAGATTTGAATATTTTGAGCAAATCTATAACCTGAAAAAATATCTATCTATTTTAAAAGTCCCAAATATGATACAAAATCAAGTAAAATACTTCCTCACACAACAATGGTATTATTATTCAGGCAATGTGGAAAACCAATCCTTTGATTATCTATCAAGTAGGATCATTTATCAAGCAAAAACTCAAAGATACTTTGACATTCTAAAACAACAAGTAATTTTCTCACCTTTGCCAAAGCGAGCAATCAATGAACTAGCTGTGAAGTGTAAGCCTATTTTCTGTCCGACAAACAACAATTTTCTGACAAGAGGCGCTGTAGTTGAGCACATGTACATTATCGAAGAAGGAACCCTTGAAGAATCAATGTCTTATAAAGACTGGGTACGATACATCTGCTCGGGTGTTAACTTTTGTCTCATAGAAATGTTCCTGGAAAAACGCTCTCACTTGACTTACAAAGCAGTAACTGACGCGATAATTATATCAATCTCTAAAAAAGATATTGATGATGTTTTTTATAAGTGGAACAAGCCGTTGAGCCACCATCTGAAAACAACCGTGAATAAATTCGCGCAAAGTACAGAGGTATTCCGAATATTTAATGAAACATTCAAAGAAAAAGAAGAAAAAGTGGCAAAGACAAAGTTCAAGTCCTGGAAAACTTTTTCCAAACACAAAAAGAATAAAAGCTGCATTGATTACAATCGATCGTTAAAAAAGTCGTACCAATTGAGGATATGCAAATATTTCATGATGAGACGAACAATTTTACCGGATGGACAGTTTATAAAAAAGTACGAAATATGTTTCTCAGTTATCCTAATCTTTTCGATAATCGCGCATTCGTCAATGTTGCTAATAATGGACCTATCTCACTATTCGTTGTTTTTGTATATATTTTTCTTTATATTTGGACTGGTGGATATGTTCCTTAGATTTCACATGGCTTACTATAACGAACAAGGAATTCTTGTTACACATCCATGGTGCACGGCAAAAAATTACATTACAACAAGCTTTTTGATTGAATTAATCGCTCTGGCACCGGTTGATATCATTTTGCACTCTAGATCAACGATTCTTGATGAAGATAGAAGTCTATCAACAGATCATTACCTGAAGTTTATATTTTCGTTTAATAAACTGCTGTACCTTTATCGGTACAAAGGAATTTATTATCTAAGCAGTGGAAGTATACATTTGTTAGATGCTTATCGTATAGCAATGTGGGTGATTCCTTTGCTGGTAGTTTTCCTAAACGTTTTGACAATGACGTACTTCTATGTGAATTTGGATTTGAAGTTAAACTATAATGAAATAGAACGATCCTCGTGGTATTTTGATTACGACATACTGGAGTTAGGCAATATGTATATTGATGGCTTCTTTTGGGTTACTATGACAACATTGGGTTGCCTGCCTTTGCGTGCTGATACTTATCCCTGGATATTGCCCGAAATAATTATGATGTTTATTTGTCTTTTATTCGGACACATTGTACTGATGAAGGTTTTAATTCTGATTGTGAAAATTTACAATTGCAAGCACAGTGCCCTCTGGAATAATCTAGTACATTCTCAAGAATTAATAAAATATATGAAGAAAGCCAAGTTGAAAAGTATACTTGTAAAGTAAGAACTACACTTACACCAACAAGAAATGATCTTTAAAATAACCTTATTTGATATTTTTAGATGGACTATTGCCCATCTTGAGTATAACTGGAATCAAAAAGTTGGTGCGAAAGTTTCATTGATGAATAATTGTCATGGTGCCCTTCGAAATGCGTGCATGAATCACATCTATAGCAAGCTTTTCTTTAAAATGGACATTTTTAACGCTTATGCAAATACATTATCCAGTATACTTGGACCACACTTTAAATCTGAATATTTTGCCACCCAGGAAGCGATCATTGATTTCAGTGATATAATTCCCGATCTGTATATTGTTTATAGCGGTGAAATTTATGCTATGAACGCAACACGCACAATTCAAGAAGTTTTGCCCGCTGGAAGCATTTTTGGCAATTTTGATAACTGCAAGGCAACACGTTGTATGATGTATTTTATATCCAAGAATCCTGTCCACATTTTAAAAATTGACACTTTGCTGTTTTATCAGTTAATCGAGAATTGTGGCGGTCTTAAACAAGTAATACAACGACGCCTTGTCCAAGGCAATTTGGTAATGTACAAATATATTTTATTTGAAATAATGTAACTGTTGGTTATATTTTAGTCATACATCAAAAATGCACTAGATTCCGAATGTTTGCAAGAAGTGGTGCATGCATTAATAGAGAGCAACGTGCGAGAGTTGGTACAATTCGCATGGCAAAAGTATAATGTAAAAGTTATGCAACCAATTCGATGGTTTCTGGAATTTTGCTCATTTGCATCCGTATATTGGGTACTATATATTTATAGTTTCTCAAAGGATTCTCTGAAGTACATAATAATATTTTACACGTTTGACGCCCTATTTGCGCTCAATTGTATCCTGGTAAATTTAGAGAAAAGATTCAGTCATGGAGCTTCTAAACAGATTTTCCTACATTATATCCGTTATCATTTATTTTATATTGTCTTGGAATACTTCCACTTGAATTAATTCCGTACCTCACTGAAAATTACTACTGGATGAATTTATTCCGACTAAATCGTGTTCTGAGGTTAATCCAGTACCATTTTTTTATGAAGGAAGTGTTCAAATCTCTAAGAATTGACTTCTCACTATTAATTGTTGTGAGCAGCATTGCCAATATCTCTTTGTTTGTGCACATTTGCAGTTGTGTGGTGTATTTTTTCGCATGTCCGGATGGTATATGTACTCCAGAGTCCTGGTTGGTGATTAACGTTGACTCCGATGAGAACGAATATATAAGTTGTGTGTTTTATGCAATTTCGATTGTCACTCAATCTGGATTCTCGACATTATTTCCAATTTTGACGAAAGATCGATTGGCATGCGCTCTGATTGCTTTAATTGGTCGAATGTTGTTGTTTATAACAATTGGACAAATGTTTATGTCTTTTAGATTCCTCAAACAAAGTTATTTATTCTTCAGCTATAAATACATGCATTTAAAGAAATACCTTCAGTTTACAACAATATCATCTTCCATGATAAAAAATCTTTGCACGTACTTTAAAAATTTATACACACATCAGCACGGAAATCAGATACCAATTTTAATACCACAATTGCCATCGTACATGCAATGTGCATTGAAGAGTTTAATCTATGGTCAATATATATTTAATAATGTGGTAAGTATAATGAAAATGATATTGGTAAATATTGCTAATTTCAATTATTATTGTTTTAATAGATCTTTCAAGATTGTCATCATGATTTTCTCCGACAAATGATGTTATTCGCACGTCTTCAAACTTGTTTTCCAAATGATGTAATATGCCATGCTGGGGAGATTAACGAGACGATGTACTTTATAAAGGAAGGAATTGTTCAGATTTTCAATATATCTAAACCAAATGAAGAAACGTTAATTGATGAGTTAATTGCAGATGACTCTTTTGGTATTGTAAGTGTTTACAAAAGCGTTTAGTATCATTTTAATATAAATTGTATTTTATAGGTGCAAGGTTTGTTTAAGAACAAACCGCATTTGTTTACGTGTAAAGCAAAAACAGTTACAACTTTGCTTACGTTAGAAAAAAGAAAATGGGATCATTTACTAGTATTTTTTCCGTCGTCATCTTACGCTATTTATCACCAGTTTAATGTAAAATAAATCCCAAATGTATATTGTCAAATTGAATTATAACTGGCAACATTGTATAACTGAGCAAATAAATACAAACTCCCACTCTTGTGTCTAGATTTTGTTCTGATGTGGCTACACTCACCTACGTCAAATGTTAACCCGTTTATCAAAGCTGATAAGCTTGTAAACACCAGTAAATATTACATACGTGTATATTTTGGTATCGCAATGACATAAACCCCTCAAATTCTCACCAAAGACACGAAATCATTCGAAATGAAGCACGCGAGCTACGTATTTGCAATATTTGCAACGCTCTCATTTATTTTTATATCGGTAACGTGCCGGGATGGAAGCGTATTCCAAGACTCGGTGATGTATAACATCAATTGGCCAGGTGATAAAATCGACAACCTAGAGCTAGGCGATGAGTACATGACAGTGGTAAGCTCGCATCAAGAGCAGTACAAGTGTTACCTGCCCAATGTGAAGAGAAACTCTCACAGTGATGTAAAATATGAAGGTCCCAGTGTGGTAGATCTGCTGGAGCCACTACTCTTTGCCAAATTACCTTGTTCCTTCAGAATTGAGAGTTATTGGTCCTATGAAGTATGTCATGGCAGGTATGTGAGGCAGTATCACGAAGCTAGAGAGGGTAAAACAGTCAGGGTTCAAGAATTCAATCTTGGTAAATGGGATCCACCACAAATGCTTCATGTTCTGAATGAACTCAAGAAGAAAGAACCCACTGAAAATACACAAATTCCAACCAAGAAGATTGATGGATATAATCTGCCCTATATTGAGGTGACCATGGGCAATGGCACATTGTGTGAGTTGAATGATAATAAACCAAGGCAGACAACCATCTTTTATGTTTGCTATGTGCATGGCAGGAATGAGATATTTTCTTTCAAAGAGTCTTCAATTTGTACTTATGAAGTCATTGTACTCACACCATTACTATGTGCCCATCCTAAGTACAAGTCCTATGAGACTGGTGAGAATAACATCCATTGTATACCAGATGGCGACAGTCCAAAAAAACCACGCAATCTTTTGAAACTTAACTACGACAGCCGCAAGTTACGTGCGGCCGCGTTACAAGAACAAGTTCAGGTGGAATTCACGCCATTTGTACCAAAAGCCAGCGAGAAACTTCCACCGGAGACACCCGTGGATACTTCACCAGTTGAAAGCTTTCTTTCCGGGCGTAACTGTCTCGTAGGCGGTGCTGGTTGGTGGAAGTACGAGTTCTGCTACGGAAAGTCCGTGGAACAATATCATATTGAAAAAGATGGCAGCAAGACCTCGATTAACCTCGGTATATTCAACCTGGAGAAACACCTGGAGTGGATTGAAAGTCATCCACATAAGAGACCCAAACCTGTGGCGCAGCGCACACAACTGTCACATCATTACAGTGGTGGAAGCATTTGTGACAAGACCGGCAATGCCAGACAAACCGAAGTAAAACTAAAATGTCTTGAAAAAGCAAGCAGTCAGAACACAGTGTCGTTGTATTTATTGGAACCACGTTACTGCGAGTATATTTTGGGCGTTGAATCGCCTTTGATTTGTGATATTCTAGCCAGAGCTGATGAGAATGGACTCGTTGAAAGCGCCAATGATGAGGAAGTCACGATTAGAGTCTAGGGGGCATCATCATGTGATTTGGAACAAGTTTTGTTGAACATTATCTAGATTAATTCATCTTGATTTGAATCGTTATACTTGCGCAGAGAACGATTCTTTTTCAAATATGAGTAGGTAACTGTAATATTGTAATAAATTTATAATTTGAATCAATTTGTCCTAAATTTGTAGTATACCTGCATAATCTTCATCTGCTGAGTTGCTTTGACTTTCTTCATCCATTTTAACAATGTCCAAGTGTTGTTTGGTATTATAATGAGCTCCAGAATCCTTTTCATTGTAATTTAAAATAATTATTCGAGTATATTAACTAATATAATACCATTTACTTACCGATGGCGTGGAAAATATTTCTTTACCACTTTTATATGACTTCTTAGATATTACCTCTCCTTCCTCTGCAGTATCCTCCAGCTGCTTTATAAAATCTGCCTCTTGTGCATCCGCATTCGGAATAATGAGCAAACGTGTCTGGATAGTTTCAGACAATGATAACTTTTGAAGAGTTCTTGGTATCAACAACGGCGCAACAAACAATTCCTGCGTGGTGTAATCAGCAACAACACCTTCGATCAGAACAACATTGTCCATCATATCAGTGACATTGAAGACATTGCGACCGCATAAATTTGGAACAAAAGCACGTTCCAGATGTAATTTGATTTGTTGTGTGGTGTAAGACACATGCAATGGGAATTCCATTAAGATGGCGATTGCTAGATGAATAACCGAACTCTTCCACATGCGAGATGCCAAACCATTAATGGGATTGTTGTCTGATAACATTGCGTTCTTAATTACTTCTGCTGATAAAAAGTAAACGGAACTTGATGACACTGCGTGTATACGACAGTCACTGGGTCTGTTTGTGAGCATACACAGCTCACCAAGTGTGTTTCCCACAACAAGATCGTCTTCGAATGCAGTGTCAAAGCGTGTTGTATTCAAATTATCCACAATAGGTATGCACCCAAGAGGACTGGTAACAAAATCTTTAGGTGGTTTATATTTCAATCTTAGGACGCCGGCGACAACGATGTAAATGCCTAAATAGTGGCGGCCATGTTTGACTATAACTTCATCCGGTTCTAATTTGATGAGATGTGCTTTCTGGAGAAGCGAATCTACTACCGATTCATCGTCACTCATCCAAATAACTTCTTTAAAAATTGTTTTCGGTGAAGTTGTCTGAATAAACTTGATTCCGCGTAAGATTTTCTGCTTTATGAAAATTTCATCGTAGATAAAGGTGTATTCAATGTTATCAATGACACCGGTTACTTTGTATTCGTTTAGAGAGTCTTCCAATGCTGTTAGCGTCGTTCGAATTGCCTGTTTTGTTCTAACTGTGATTGCAATCCAAGGACGTTCTTTTTGTACAATCGCCATTTTTTGCATTAAGATAGTTTTTTCTGCGTTAATGCTCTTCCTGTATAGATCTCTGATAATCTTCAACTCGATTAATGTCGGCAAACTATCCAATATCTCATCGGCTGAATTTAGTACTGCTATGGCCAGATCATAATCCCAACAGAGCGAAGTGTCAATTTTACTATCAATACATTTAATGAGATATGGACAAACAAAAATCAATTTACTTGGAAGTTGCACCAAACGAATCACGGCCAAGAGTCTTAGCGGTGGAATGACATAATAGTACCACCAGTCATAAATATTAGACAAAGTCGCCAGTCTTAGATTGAATAACATCATGAGAAGAAGAAAAAAATCCACAATGTTGCGTTTACGCTTAAAATACGGCATGATTCCAGAGATTACTAGCCACACGACCGACAATCCAATCAGTTTAAATATTAAATCACATAGGAACAGCATAGTTATCAACACATGCATGGTGTGAATATTTTCTCTTGATTCTTCACTCTCGACTGCAATGGATACAACCGCATAGATGATAGTGACTACAAGCAGGACAGAGTCGTAGCAGATATGCATAGTCACGTAGAAGCAAAAGGTACCGCAGTTACTTTGCGATTGCTGATAAGGTTTATGAGCGTAGAACTTCGCCAATGCTTTGCGGAGGAACATCAACACTTTGTTCTTGTTTAGAAATCGATTTACGCTTAGCATTTGATTTTCCTTACTTGACTCAAACATTATATCGAGATAATGAATAAGTACCTCGAGGCTGTATTTATTGATGACGCCATTTTCATATTGTTTAACCATCGATATTTTTTTCGCTTTCAATATGTTGAAATCAGTCTCCCTTTGGGAAAAAAGTGAACATATATCTAATTATGCTTTAAATAAAATACTTACTTAAGTAAAATAACTAAATCCTCTTCAGTTGTATCTACAGCAAAGTCAACAACACAAGCGGGACATTTTTTACCATCAATCCAAATACTCTCATCGCGTGCTTTTTTTATTTCTTCGTATTGTGTCCGCTTTAATTTTTGATATGGATCCGGCAAAAACGTGTCTTCTTTCACCCGGTGCCAATTGCCCAACGCAAAAAATCGATTTTGCTTCAATATTTTCATCAACTCTGTGCGCTTCTCCATAATGAACCCCATGCAATTATTCATATTGTGTTTTCTCATGGAACTCATCTCCATGAACCCCAAAGAACGGACAATCACTCTTACTAAACCAGTGTTTACAAAGATACTCAAGAAACAGTACATCAGCAGTTCCATCATGCATCTCTTCGTATAGTCTTCTTTCATTCCGTTCGTGGCGCGAAGTAACTTCAACAAAAGATTTATGTTGATGCAGCCTTTAATGTCGCACCATCCCAAAACCAGCAAACATTTGATGTTCAATTCGTATGTCATCAGATTCAGCAAAGGACTCAAAACCAAAAACCTAAGCAGTCTTAAAAGTAATCCAGCGAAATAAATCAAAATAGTGCCGTATATGTCTTGGATTTGTAAATTATTGATGATATAGATTGTTAAAGTGACTGTGCAAACCATTAGCATTCCAACCTCCGCCGTATAATTCAAATAACCCCAGAAATATTTCAAACTTGCGATAACATCATCTGTGAACCGATGGCTTGACAACATAATAAAACAATTCAAGATTATAATGGCTATTGGTCCCGAACAACCTAATAACTTTTCACACAGAAAATATACAAAATAATTCATTCCCAATGTGGTGACAACTACATTCGCTGGATCATTGTACAACCATTTAAGAAGTGTCACCACAAATCTGCCGATAATGACTCCTACTGAACATCCGCCTCCGACTTGTCGCAGTGAAATGAATAGTACCTGTTTCCAGGAAATGACATATTTTCCTTGAATGCCAAGTAAAATATCGAACAGTCCACATACTGGCATCAGCAGCATGACTGATTCAGCCTCGAGCATTGTCCCAAGAATGCGGTGTTTGGTCATGTCCCGAAGGTGTAGGATTGCGGGCAGGGGATGAATTGGTATTGTTACCAAAGCCACGAGAATGCCATGGGTTAAGTTCCATTCTTTGTGCAGGATGTACGACAAAATGGAGCCGAGAGCCACCGAGCTGATTAGGGTTCCCAGAATAACTGAGGTAAGAACTTGCGGCAGGGACCGCAAGTAGGTGTAATGGTGGACACGAATCACCGTCGACGCAATAAATATGGGAATGTAAATGTGGAAGCACATGTCCGGGTTTAAATTCATTATGTCTTTCCACGAGTTCATGCCATCGATGGTAGTAAATATGGCGCCGATGAAGATGCCGATTACCAGCAGGAAAGCATTCTGTGAGACGTGAAGATTAAGTTGTCTTACCACGATGCGAACAGGAATGCTTAGCAACATGCAGCCTATGATCACAGGTATGATGAAAGATAATTCTTCTTCAGGATGATTCGTTGATTCAAACGATTTCTTAGACTCGGTCATTTTGAAAAATTTGTCAAATTGACATTGCGTATTTTATTATTCACGAGCGTGTATAATAGACAACTTGATGTCGAATGAAGGCGAAAAAGTACGAGGTTTTTAAACGCATGCGCAGCTCAGTTGTAGACAGCAGGCAATCGGAGAGAAGCTGCTGTGAAAGCTGCTGTAAATTTCTGTGGGTGATTTGCAGATTTACACATCTATGGATTCATAATACTCATGACACGGAGCATTGTTAGGTTTACGTGCTCGTAGACGGGTTTTAATGTAAAAAGCTTGTTATTTTGGGAAGTTATAAACGCGTCGCTTGTGCGTAGCTCGATCGTGATCCAAAATTAGCCCACGGAGGTTATGTGTGGTTTTAATGTCAAATTTGAATGTCATCCTTGCACGGTGAGATTGGCTTCGTGCAGCAGGATGATGATCTGCGGGCGGCAGTTTTGATGTGCCAGGGCTGCGATGGATCTCTGCGACCGTAGCGGTGATCCGGCGGCCTCATCGAGTGACGCGCGTGAGGACGAGATGAAACGCGCCACTGCGAAGTCGCTCATTGAGCGTTATTTCTATCAGCTGACGGACGGCTGCGGCAATCCGACCTGCGACAACAAACATTGCGCCTCCAGCGGTCAAGTGAGTGATGCCTTTGTGTCCTTAAATTGGTCCTGTTTATTCTATACGATTTTGTTTCAAGGTAACTACCCTTTCGCCAAATGAAGCGGCCGCTAAGGCGATTCAGTTATTCTCGGAAGAGGCACGCCTCTGCGACCCTCACCGTAACAAAATGCCGCGAACCAACTTTCTGTCCGCTGGCGATAACTCCGTGATCAGTTCTATACCATGTAATGATATGGCAGCTCCTATCAGCTTGAATGATTCAGCCAGAAGTAGTCAGACCAAACAGGACATCACCATGGGTATAAAATTTTTTGTTTATTTATTTACTATTAGTGATCTGTACAACTTTTACAGCTGAAGCAATTCCCTACCTTACTGAAGACTCCCTATATGAGATAATATCTGAGTGTGAATCAAGTGAAAACTATTCAAAACTAATAAGGACATTGGGAGAGGTGTTTAGTAGTATTGAATCCTTGGTGCGCAGTTTTCGACAGAGGGTTCTAAGCTCACCAATTGACGCGATACTAGACAAAACGGCCGGCGACCTAACAACACTTAAAAAGGAGGACGTGCGTTCACTGGAGGGCGAAAAAGACAAAGACGAAGATAGTTGTGTAAGCGCGATGTCTCCAGACTCGGCGGAGAATCAGCGCTTGCCTTTGGATTATGCCGGACTGCGTAGGTCCTACTCTGCGCTACTCGAACGTCTGCCGAGTAATATCACTGAGAGCGCAATGGTAAATGCGCTTGTCACACTCGCCGGATACTTGCAAATGGAACTGCAGAATCGCAACACAAAACTGTACTCAAATGACGACATTGTGCATGTGCTCACGATTATCTACGAAATTCCCGTGCTGGGTAACGGGGATTTCTTGGAGACGGCATTTCCGGCGCTATGCAGGGCTACAAAGTGGATAAATGTTGAAGTGCAAGCAAAACTTGCACAAATGTGGTCCAGCAGCAGGAATTCATCGTGTTTAAGTCTACTTTTGGAAAATTTGCAACAATTGGTCACGTTACGTGTTATTTTGACGCAATTTCATCCGGACTTTTGTGTTCAGGAGGAAAATGTTGTTACTGCTGCAACGAAACTTATGAAAGTAAGTGTTTGATGAATTATATGAGCTAGGATCAATTTATCTTTTGTTCTAGGTTGTGTACTATGCGAATATTCTAGCTGGTGTTTTAGAATCACCAATCCTACGCCAAAAACCGGACAAAAATTTATGGACTGACCCGGAAGATGAATTAGGTACGCATTATTTACATGATAATAAAAATTGTATTAACACTAACAAAATTTAAAATTATTAGCATTAGAGTTAGGCGTGCATCCATTGGACTGTCGCAAACCACTGATACCACTCACAGAGTTCTACAACGAGCCGCTCAGCGACGCCGTCGAAGTAGACAAAGACTTCTCCAACTACAAATCGCCCTCACCTAACAAGTTCAGTTTCCTTCTATATCCGTTCATATTAACGCCGGCCACAAAAGCACTCGGGCTTTACTACGACAACAGAATACGAATGTTTTCCGAGCGACGTTTCAGTTTCCTACAGAGTGTCTCTGGCAATCCTAGTAATCCATATCTAAAACTATGCGTCCGCCGGGATCATATCGTCGATGACGCGTTGGTGGAGCTAGAGATGGTCTCGATGGTAAATCCAATTGATTTAAAAAAGCAACTCGTTGTCGAGTTTCAAGGCGAGCAGGGTATCGACGAGGGTGGCGTCTCCAAGGAGTTCTTTCAGCTAGTCATCGAAGAAATTTTTAATCCTGATTACGGTATGTTTGTAACACAGCCGGAATCGCAAACCATGTGGTTCAATCCGATGAGCTTTGAAACCGAAGCACAGTTTACACTCATCGGCATCGTGCTCGGCCTGGCGATTTACAATAATGTTATTTTGGCTGTCAACTTTCCGTTGGTGCTGTATCGAAAGTTGATGGGAATCCTGGGCTCGTTTGAAGATTTACAAGACTGGAATCCAGTAAGTATAAAACCATGTTTCTAAGATATACAGATGTACATTCTTATTTTAATTTTTTTAACTAGACGTTATACAATAGTCTTAAACAATTGTTGGAATACCCCGATCCTGATTTGGAAGAGGTGTTCATGCAAACGTTTCGCGTCAGTTATCAAGACGTCTTCGGTAACTTGATGCACCATGATCTGGTAGAGTGTGGCGATTCAGTCAGCGTCACGCCGGAGAACAAATACGAGTTTGTTAAACTGTACGCGGACTACTTGCTGAACAAATCGGTTGACAAACAGTTTACAGCGTTCTACAAGGGCTTCCAAATGGTTACAGGCGAATCGCCGTTGGAGCAATTCTTCCGGCCTGAAGAAGTCGAGCTATTAATTTGTGGCAGCAAAGTAAGTAAAACGTAGTAATTTTTAAATCTCTTATTCTATTCAATTGTGTTTATGTCTAGAACTTCAACTTTGACGAATTGGAAGACGCAACCGAGTATGACGGCGGTTACACGCGTTTCACGATGATTGTCCGTAACTTTTGGCAGATTGTGCACGCATTTTCGAATGAAGACAAACGTAAACTACTGCAGTTTGCCACTGGCAGTGATCGCGTACCGATTGGCGGGCTCAGTAAGCTGAAACTGGTGATCGCGCGAAATGGCCCAGATTCGGATCGCCTACCAACGGCGCATACCTGCTTCAACGTACTACTCCTGCCGGAATACCTCACCAAACAGAAACTGAAAGACCGCCTGCTCAAAGCGATCAACTACTCGAAGGGCTTCGGAATGCTGTAGACTCCCTGGCCGGAAACAAGTAAGCTAAGCAAACCACAATGGAGAACAATGATTGCATCTTAAATAATTTTACTGAAAACAGAGAATTTATCAGCTGCAAATAAAACAAATTGGAATTCATCTATTTGCGAGGTGAGCAAATAAAGAACAAATCAAAACGATTTTGTGCGTCTACTTGCGCTTGTGTATAATATGTTTAGATAATTTAATAAAGATGTGTATGTAATTCATACGTTTCTAACATGGTGCGTGTACACGAGTTTACTTTCGCCTCTGCGCTGATCTGCCACCGCCGCCGCCACCGGATTTCTTACCCTTTTTACCTCTCTTGCCGTTTTGGCGAGACTTTTTCTTTTCTGCCAACTGACGCGCTTTGAGAATTTGATCAGTCGATTTCAGATCAGAGCGTTTATTCTTCATCATTTGTTTTTCATTGTGTCGAGCCCAATGTGTATTTGGCCTGCCTTTTAAGAAATCTAAAATAGTTCTTTAACCATAGTAATTAAATTAAATTTATTATTAAATATCTACCTTTAGGTTTCCTCACAGCCTGTTCAGTATTATCACCGTCATCATCTGAAGCTGCTTCACCTTGTTTAGTTTTATCCTTCCATTGTGAATACCTGTTGCTCTTATATGTAGCAGGAATCCACACGCCGGACTCTGTCTTGATTTTGCCTACCTTCGACTTGGACTGGTCCACAACAAACTTTTTCTTCTTTCTATCCCAGACTTTTGTTTGATTCGAGCGGCGCATTGCATCTTTTGTATCGGCGGTCAAGTCTAATTGGGCTTTTGATGCTTCTTGTTGGAAATTCACCGATAATCTACTCAAACCGTTAATAATTTAATAAAAACACTTATTTATCTTACACTCATTTTAATAACATACCCTTCTTCTGTATGTCGATCAGCAGGCTGATATGGAATATAATTATCATCCTTCTGCACTTCTTTTCTAGGTTTCTTAGCTTTCTGTTTATATAAATCATCGATTTTTCGTTTCTTAGGCACTACTATAGTCGCAAATGTATCTTCAATCTCTTCAGCATTACTTCCCTGCAGTGTAGACTCTGGTTTAATCTGTTGAGTTTTCTTTAGGTCACGTTTCTGATGATGAATTTCGATCTTTTCTTTATGAAACGCACGTTTTTTCTTCATCACTTGATAATCTTGCGATGTATTTTTACCACAAATTTCAAATATCGTCTAAAATATAGTTTAAAATAATATTTTAAATTTAAATTTATTTAAATCACTTACACCTTGTGGTCTGTATACTTTCATTCTATCAATAATATTTTCTCGATCGTTTTCTTCGTCATTACCATCTGATTGCCGAAAGATTGAATGCACTCCAACCGAATTAAGCGGTAATTCTTTAATACGTTTATTACTATCAGAAGACGCAGCAGGTCTCGAGCGTAAATATTGCTGATACGCATTTTCTGTAACTTTTTTCATGCTTGCAATGTCCATTCGCGTTTCGTGCAAAGTCAACAGCGCACTATGCTGTTCTTCAATCAAACTCTGTGGCATACGCCCGACTGACCCTTCTTTATTCGTGGGTAAAGTTAGTGATAATTCCTTATCCAAAAACAAGTGCAAATCTAGTAGGTAAGCATGTTCATCAGGTGAAACGAGTGAATAAGCTGTACCAGAACGACCAGCACGAGCACATCGACCTAAAATTCAACAAAAATTATAAAAGTTATATTTATTTTTAGTTCACTTCAAGTTATTTACCAACTCTATGAAGAAATAGTTTCGATTTGGCTGGAAAATTGAAGTTTATAACATTATCCAGCTGTGGGATGTCAATTCCTCTGGCTGCGACGTCTGTTACGACTAAAACTTGGCACTTCCCTTGACTAAACTTCGCTGCGTTAATTTTTCTAGCCGATGGATCCAAATTTGAGTAAATATATGTGTTACTAATGCCAAAATGATCAAGAATCATGTGCACATATTCAACATGATGTTTTGTAGCAGCAAAAACTAAAGTTTGTTGTTGTTCTTCAATATGTGACTTTAGTAATACTATAAGTGCGGCTAATTTTTCCTCTGGCCGACAAGTGATAAACCAAAGTTGTAAACCAGTAGGTAATTTACTCTCAACGTCCAATCTATCAATAAATAATTGTTATTTTTTAATTTATTAATAAAAACAATACAAAAGTGAAATTACCTGATTAAGACTGGATCATTAAGACCAGCTTTGGCGAATTCAACTAAAACTTTAGGCAAAGTTGCAGAAAACAGCACAGTTTGGCGTGAATCAGGCAAACGGTTAACAATTTCGTTCAACTGCTCACCGAAACCCATCTCAAATAAACGATCGGCTTCATCAAAAACAATATACTCGATGTTTTTAAGTTTGAGGTCCATTTCAACGCAAACGTGAAGGAAACGACCCGGAGTTGCAACGAGAATATCAGGATTGCCATGAATAGCAGAAAATTGATCCTCCATGGAATCACCGCCGAGAATAACGGATGCTTTTAAGTCGGAAAAACGACCGAGTTCTTTTATGAAACGCAATGTCTATCAAAAATAATTTACAATGATTAATAACATCTGTTTATACTAGTTTATAATATATAATTTACCTGTAATGCTAATTCTCTTGTAGGTGATAAAATCAAAGCTCTTGCGCCGGTTTTTGCCGAACGTATTTTAAGTCGTTCAAACATGGGAATCAAGAAACAAGCAGTTTTACCACTTCCTGTTCGAGCCATAGCAACAACATCTCTACCTTCTAGTACTAAAGGTATAGCCTTTTAACATATTAATAGTTTAAAATTATTTAATTAGTTGAGAAACATTTTATTTATAAAAAAAACTTACTTTTCTTTGAATTGGTGTGGGTATTTTGTATCCTCTTTTAGTGATACCTTTCAAAAGATTGAAACTTAATCCCATTGACTGGAAACCACCACTTTTCTTAGTGCTTTTCTTCTTGACTTCTTCATTTTCATCCGGGGATAAATTAGGATCATCAAATCCTTGTAATTCAACCATTTTTGTGTCGTTTCAACTTGCACACTTTTGAAAACATAAGCACATGAACTGCTTCATAAAAAGTGTGGTTATACTACACGTGCATGGTGTAAGATAGAAGTGTAGAATGTGTTGCCTAGGTCATAAGTGCGTAATATTTTCAATAAGTCTTTGCTGAGACTTAAATTGAAATGCATGAAATAATAATGATTATTGTGCAGTATTTAACACAGCAAACAGTGAATACGATCCTCGCCCAATCTATAAATCACAGCGTTATTAACTGATTAGGTTGGAATTACCGTATTACCGTAACAAATGTTGCTAATGTCATAGCCGTAAATTTTCCAGCAGTTAAATGAATTGGTTTCGTCATACGCATCATTGTAAAAATGATATTTCTTCGATATCTGGTACTCGTTGTGATTAACCAATCACTACTATATATTGCATTTGGAATTTCCGCTGCCTATAAAAATTTGATATGCATTTTAAGAGTTTTCAGTCGCCATTTTGTCTTTCCCAGAAACAGGCCATTGAAACGAGCAATAAAATGATGAAATTCAATTATCGCACATTGATTTTAATTACCCATTGAAGCAACAAGTTTATTTCTACTCAGTAGTTGATAATTAAGAGGTAATTAAAACTTTTGCGGTTTCATCAACGTGCAAAACTGCATTTTTTTTATACCTAACCTAGTCTAACCTATTCTAATAAATATACATACGCGCGTGGTGAGTTTGTTTCCGGCGTAACAATACAGCGCGAGCTGATTCTCGATTGCAAGCATGTAGGTGATTTCGTTGCCGGGAATGTTGCTACCGATGGGAATCTGCGAACGTGTGCTAATTAGCAATTTGTTTAAAATTACTATCTTGTAGCTGCCATGTTTGGCTAGAAATGGCATTCAAATTAGTTTGTGTTTAATTCGCCAATAAGTTTCTAAAGTTGTTTAAATTATTTAAAGTGGCAATAAAATGTGCTATTTTGCACGAAACTGACAAATTGATGGGAATTGGTGAAATTTATTAGAAGAAATTAGTTGGTTTACATACCGTTGAAATAATGAAGAGGCAAGTGCAAAATACCACAAGAGAGACTAATGTTTGAAGTAGAATTAGGAGATTGAAGATGGATTCTAATTTTTCACAAATTCTATAAAAACAAAATATGAAAACGGAAATTTACAGAAACCTGTTAACCGAATTACTCAAGAATAAGCTGCAGGTGTCGAATGCAGGATCTCAGCTCATCGTACATTCTCTCCTGCAATTCACCAGGAATAATTTCTCGCACACCGCCCGTCTGGGCGATCGCTTTCTCCTTGATTGTCGCGAACGCGCCTTGCAGCAGTTTGAAGTGCGTGCTGGTGAAGCACACCAGACTGTAGAAGAGCATATCGAAACCTTGAAACAGAAAATTGCACCAAAACCACACACACTCACACCACCAATCCAACCCAAAAAAAAAAAAACTGTTGTAGGTCATGAAGTTATCGCTTTCGAAAATGTAAGTTATTACTTACACTATCGGCTTAAGTTGATATATTAAGTAAAATGTTAAGTCAAAGAAATAAAAGAGAAACATACCCACCGTAATCATACCGCAACTCAAAAGTGCCAAGCATTGATAAACGACAGCGGCACTATAATTGAACACAGACGATCTGTATTCGAACGGCACGTAACTGTGATATGGCAGTTTTAACTCGGACAGGTTCTGCGCACGCGCGCTAGCGCTAAAAAAGCTCGCCAATGTCAGCAGGCACGCCGAAGTCGGCACGAGAAACGACAGCGTGAAAAAGGTAAATGTCAACCGGTTCTTAATACGCCGATCTGATTTAATAATCAGTTCTGGGTCAAAATCATCGATTTTCGTGAATTGCTTTGATGCCAATTGTAAAATCTCCATTGTAGTTATCAACTCTTTGTAATTACAAAACCAAACAAGTACTTTGAAGAATGTTAATATGAATGACATCGACATGTTGAGATTCTTCACCAGATCGTTAATATTCGCAGATGATTCTTTTAATGATGCTAATTCAGCAATAGTGAAGAATATTATCGAATAAAACACGCAGACGATGTTAAAAATCCAAATTAATATGATTTTTAACGTCGATGTTGTCTGCGGCGGGTAGATACCAGAGCCTTTCATTATTTTTATGTTTAGGTCAAAGAAATTGTCGTTTTGCATCTTGACAAAAATCTTGTTGAATTCGCACACCGCACGCTCAACAATGTGAAAGCAAGTGCAGTAATAAGCAAAATTCGAAAATTAACTATTTAACTGGATAGAGAAGATAGTTGGATGCGAAGGTAAAAGTAAATAATTATTGTGTTAGCGCATAATTGGTGGTTTATGTGACATGCGTATAATCAGTGTTTGTGATTTGTGAATTTTCTGCCGAATAAATAAATGAATACATATTGTGTGACTGATTAGTATGTTATGCTTGTGATAGTGTTGTGGGATAACGCGCAGGTACACGTTTCTTTGGATATGGTAATTTCATAATTTGCACTGACTGCAAAGAAATTATATGATATATTTACATTTATACTGATTATTGGGCAGCGACTGGTGAATAATCACAATTATTTATTTATTACATTATTATGACAGTTTATGTATGTTTGAATTGAGATTATTTGAATAATATTTGCAAATTTATTAAAAACTTGCTTTTGCCCGCGACTTCGAGCCGGTAGTGTTTAATAAAAATTAGAGTCCGACCGAAACTGGATTTTAGCCGAAACCGAAACCGAAACCGAAATTTCGAGCCGGTAGTGTTTAAAATAAAAATGTAATTCGTTTTTACTCTCTTTTTCTAGACATAGTATGTGTCAATTTTATCAATAAGATTTGCAATTTTATTTTAAAGAAATTAATTATATAAAGAATTGCTAATAATGCATTTCAGCGCGTCATCTCGGATTCAACTATTTAACTATAACTATGATTGAATCTCAATGCCAACTTTTATTCTATAGAAAAGGGCTGTCTTTGGGGTTTTCCTGGCAATTATTCGATTTTTTCTCGCCGTAAAAACCATCCTTGGACTTTAACGAATATTTAAAAAAAGAATTGGCCAAATTGGTCAAAGCGTTGATGAGTTATGCGCTTACCAACAGATTCTGCGATTCATTTTTATACTACAGATATAATAATACCTATTAATGTATATAGTTTAATTTAGTTTTTGTTCTATTTATAACTATTTATTGCCTTAGTTTTAACTATTTGTTTATGTTTAATAAAAGTGGGGTTGTGTTGTTTGATTGCAAATCCAATGCAAAAAAGTTGACAGTTACTAGGAGTTGCAAGTTGCGGTTATGTAGGGACAAAATAAAAAATAAGTATTTATAGGTTATATTAGTATAAACTACTATAAAACTGTTTAAATATTAATTTTGCATCCTTTTTCAATATATTTAGCTGATAAAACATAGAAAAAAAGCAAAATTATAAGAAAAATCGAAATGAATAAAAAGAAAATATTTGAAACAACAATTACTGTAACTAAAATAGAAAAAAAAACTTTGACAACACGCAGAAAATACAAGTAAAAATACACCCATTCGCATATTCGCTCAATATAATTTATTGTATATTATTTGATGTTTATTTATGTTCCACATATTCATATTATTCATCTGAACTTGTGAAATTTGAATTCATTCAATCCAACAATGCGTATGAATAAATTTCGTTTGGCTGTTTCTCCGTAAAATTTCGTTTGTTCGACTTGACTCGACATCGCCGAGTACACCTCCTTTGCCTTTCACCTCAAGTGTTGCTCACGCCGATTGAAAAGGCAGAAGATCACCGCCGAACTTCCTACTCGCGAAGATGTTTGAACTTAAGCATTAAGCGTTACGACTGAAGCGTAAAGCGTTAAGCGCAAACTCACTGCCAGCAAGTTTGTTGCATGTGTTTTACATGCTCTAACATTTTCCAGTATTATGTAGTTTGTACCTACTCGAAGTAGGCAGAGAAGATGCCCCGATGAATCCGACTTAGGAGTAAGCAATATCATGCATCTTGATTGTTGTACTCTCGTGCATTATTACACGTACGCAGATGACTGATTATTATGAGGAGGCCATTAGCGCGGCTGAGGTGGTTGTGTGGATGTAGCGGAACCGGAAAACTTACTGCTCGCACGAGTTGCATGTGTGGAGGATTTTATTGCGTTATATTTCAATGCACTATGGATCTTATGACATGTTATGCGTGTTTCCTCTTCACAACAAAAAAATCAAATGAAAATTTTTACTTTTTTTGAAATAACTTTAAAACTAATTACGACAGAGCTATAATTGATTCAAAAATTTATTCAGAATTAAATACTACATATCTGTATATTAAAAATATTTAAATAAAGTTATTACATTTAAAGTTATAAACAATAAATTTTTTTTTTACTTTTTAGTGTGTAACTATTGTTAAACAAATTTTAATAATAAAATACTTTTATATTTCGAAACAGAATTTAAGCCCAAAAAAATTTATGAAGAAATAATGACAATATAATTATTATTTTAGGAATAATTGCCAAAAAACTAAATCAGTAGTTTCCTATTAAATAAACCATAAGTCTATACTTTTCTGTAGACATTTTGACGATTTCATGTAAAAATGAATGTGCATTCATTTAAATTCACATAAATTATGCGGCAACATGTACATTTTTTACATGCCGTGTATTTATTATTACACATCATATACGTTATCTGGTCCTTTCTACGTACCACTCGTACATTCATAGTAATTGCCAAGTCTGAGAAGCGTTTTGCCTCTTTTATTATTCTTACCTCTAATATATTGTATTGTATTTTATTTCGTCGTTATTTCATTTTACTGCTCTCTAAATATTCTAATGTGTGCAGAGAAAATTAAGCACGCTTCATTTTTCCCACATGCAGAAATCAAAGAAAAAGAATGGCTCGTAACAAATATTACATATTTTCCATTATTTACAGTGTTCAACAAAAAGTGTATTATAATAAAACGTGTTGGTAATTGTTTTTATGTATTACTGTTTAATTAAGCAATGGATTTGCATTGTATAAACAATTACTATTACATGCATAATTAGCTGTCAATAAAATTGGTGATTTATGAAACAATTAGTTTTGATGTGCTGAACATTTAATGTACGGAAGTTTAATATTAATGTGCTGCTGATATAACAACATGGATTGGTCTAAATTGGGTGTTAAAAGTGAGGTTATGTTGTTTGCTGATATCCAAAAGAACAAAATTTATATAAAACTAGTTTTTGCCCGCGACTTCGTCCCCGTAGTGTTTAATAAAATTTTACTCTCTTTTTCTAGACATTGTATGTGTCAATTCTATCAATAAGATTCCCAATGTTATTTGAAAGAAATTAATTATATAAAGAATTGCTAATAATAATGAATTATTTATCTATAACTATGATTGAATCTCAATGCCAACTTTTATTCTTTAGAAAAGAGCTATCTTTAGGGTTTTCCCGACAATTATTCGAATTTTTCTCGCCGTAAAAACCATCCTTGGACTCTAACAAACATTAAAACAAAGAAATGGCCAAATTGGTAGAAGCGTTGTTGAGTTATGCGCTTACCAACAGATTTTGCGATTTATTTGTATATTATAGACAAGTTGACTGTGTTTTTTTGTTAGGTTTTAGTTTAATTGTTGCAAAAAAATAAAATTTAGTCGTCTTATTAAATAAGCTGTCAAGGTATGATTAATTTTCTCAAAAGTACAACGAGACTATTATTATTTACTTTAATTCCTTTATAATTTTATTTCAATAAATTTTTTTCTTCTTTATTTTCTCATTGACATTATTCCTTTATTTTCTAACCTTCACTAAATATTTGTACACAATTCGCAACCGAAATGAGTAAGTCAAATAATGTAAAATGACCAAAATGCTTAATATTTACAAATCCGCTGCTAACCTAAACTATAAAACCTTAAAGATGCGTTAGTATTACGTAAAAATGTCTAAATCACGCATTCAAGTATTCAGACCACGTATTTCGGGTTTATTTGTTGTATTTACATGCCAATTTATAAGTCCACACACACTCTTGGCCAGCTTGTTCTCTGGCGCTTGTTTGTGAACTTAATATTTATACAGCGCTCTTCTTGTTTAAATCGCTGCGTGTCGATGCGTGCTGTTTGCGGAGCGCGTGCTGCCTGGTAATAATAAACAAATATGAACAACATTAAAATTCATCGCATGTAACACCTTGGTTTTATTGCTGAAAATTGCAAAAAATAAATAAAATAAAAGTAATTGCATGTACTCGTATAAATCGTTTGATTTGGTTTTATAATCTTGCGCGTGGAGGTTATAAAACGTTAAAAATAGTGCGTTTATTTACTGAGTGGCGATACTGGATTTAATTGCGTAAGTGTGAATGTAAAAATCTATGAAGATGGTCAAGTAAAAGTGTGGGTAAAAGTAAGAGTGATATGTGTTTTATGAATTTTGTTGTATCATAGATGTTTATGTGAGAAAAAAACTTTTAATGATCACTTATGTAAAAATATGTTTTTATTTGACATAATTATAATTAATATTGCAGCAGAGGTAAAATTATATTGATAGCATTAATAATCTTTCAAATTAGGTGATAATTTTGCATCATTTGCTTGTCTAAAGCTTGTTATAATAGAATGGACAACGTCATAA